ATTATTCCGGGTGCTACGACGGTGGTTGGGAGACCAGATTTAGATGGGTTGATGGAGGGGGTTATTTGTGGCTCAGGTAAAGAGATAGAGAAGAGACAGAAGATAGGTGTGGTGGTTAGTGGACCGGATGGATTAAATCGAACGGTAAACAACAAATGTGCCGAATTGGTCCGAGAGGGTAGAGATTTAGAGGTTACGATTGAGAAATTTGGATGGTAAATATCGAGGGCTTTCTTTCTTGTTCTTTGAAATTTACTTGGATTGAGTTGGTACATAGAGAGCGAATCTTTCTTGGGCATTTCGTGGCATTTTGAATTTAGCATTGGCGAGGAACATTTGTGATGATATGAATTGAAATGAGTTGAAGATATATGATGCATAGATAGTTATTACACACATCCTGCACACGCGATACGATACCATGCAAATGGAACGAAAGTACATACATAGATATACACAGTTAGCAAATATCAAACACAGCACATATTTTACAAGCTTCTCATTTTTTCCTTTGGAACCAGAATGATGATCTGAAGCAAGCTCTACTTGCCCCCCTCGTCTCGGTTCCCCTTTGTATCATTCATCTAGACGTAACCCTAACCATTTCAGTATCATCATTGTTGTGCAATATGTATAATATAGACTCGAGGAAAGAAGTCTCACAATCACAATCTCACAAGAATATACACACATACATAGAATCAACCCAGCATACTCCAATACCCCAAACCAAAACCCAAGTCAACAAATACAGTATCACATCCTACCACACTCCCATGAAAAGATACAATTCAAAGATCTACATAAATTCCAAGTGTCATCATCACTACAAACAGATATAAAAAGACCCCCCAATCATCACACAAGCAGAACATTTGCGGTGATATCTACTTTCAATATCATTATTAGAAAGTCATTCAGTTCTACACTGCGCAGATTTGAGATGAATTCTAATCCAATTGTACGTCCCATATTTCATATTTCATTTCATATCCCAAATGAAAAAACTCTATCCACCTACATAGATCTCCAATCATTTTACTACTAAAAAAAATTCCAAAACTTCAACTGTAGTGAGCAGTCCACACAGACGACAAGAAAATCAGTCTGGCAAAGGCGTTGGGTATTCAATAGTATAAGAGTTAGTGCGTTAGTGCTTTGCTCGCTACATGTAGATCTTTCTGTATGGTATGAGCTCTACCTTCTCTCTCTTATTCTGTACATATTTCTTTTTTTTTCTAGCTTCATCTTACATCGTCTTCTTCACAATGAACTCCTATCCCTTCTTCGATTCCGCAGTCCTCTTCCTCTTCCTCTCCCCAAACCCCTTTCCCTAAGAATATCTAAACACAATAGAAGATTTCAAGAAAAGTACACTTCACACCCTCCATATATTCTCTCTATTCTCCCCATAATCCAATCCAAACTCAACCCCCTATCTTCCCAAGTATCACAATCGAAGCCACACACCCACACATCTACACATCTACACATCCACACACATACTACATATATCATGCCATATACCATATATCCTAACATATATTATATAGTATTAATATACTATACAATATCAATATGTACACACTATTATATTATCACTTTATTATACACTATTACGCACTATTACAAATCTATAAACCTACAAACCTATACCCTAAACTCTAAACTCTACATCCTAAACTTAACAACTCATCCACACCTCACCCACACCCATCCATCCCACCTAAACCTAGCCAGCAATACCAACTCACCTCAACTCACCTCAACTCAAACCTCAACCAACCCTCAACCCTCAACCCTCAACCCTCAACCCTCAACCCTCAACCCTCAACCCTCAACCTCAACCCTCAACCCTCAACCCTCAACCCTCAACCCTCAACCCTCAACCCTCAACCCCCAACCCTCAATTCCCAATCCTTAAATCTTAATCCTCCAACCCGTCAACCCCTCAAATCTCCAAGTCCCCAACTCCCAAAGTCCCAACCCGTCAATCCCTCAATCCCCTAATCCTCAATCCCTCAACCCCCAAGTCCCTAACTCTAAAGGTCTAAAACACATTACCTACTCCCCTTTCACAATCTCACAAACTCGCTTCTTCTTCTTCTTCTTCTTCTTCTTCTTCTTCTTCTTCTTCTTCTTCTCCTTCTCCTTCTCAACAACCGCTCAGCACATTTACATTCACATATACCAGACGACCCATACATTCACATATACCAGACCACTCATACATACCTAGGTATAGATTAGAGTCATACTAATTCAACCATTGGGTAGCATTCAATCGCCGTGCAGTCACACAAATAATCAAACAATCAAACAATCCCAAAATGTAAAAATGTACCAATACCAAACCCCATATCTAAAGTTCTGTTTCTGTCTGTACTGAACTACCAAAAGGAAGAAGAAGAAGAAAACGCAAAAATCGCATCGATAGCATCTTTCTTCTTTATTCCCTCATTTGAATGCATCCATTTCTCTCCATGCTCCATGACAGTGTCTTTATTTTTCCACGTGTAACATGCATTTCATCCCAATTTCATTCTCATTTCCATTCCCATTTCCATTCACAACTCAACTTACATCTCAGATGAAACCTCAACACCCATTCGCTCAACCACACGCCAACCCATCACAATCAACAACAACTCCCTTCCCAATATATACATCTACTGAGCAACTGGCTCAGGTGCCTTGACACCCTCCTCACTAGGAACCGGCGCTGGAGCAGTGGTTCCAGTTGGGATCGTACCTGCATTAACGTTCTCGGTGTTGATGACATGTTGATCACCATTTGTCGATGCCCACTTGGGAGGTTTAGCCCAAGCTGGATCTGTCCAAGGACCCTCATCACTCAATGCACAACCACCCTTACACTCACAGCTACCTCCAAAAATCTTCGGTAAGTTCTCCTTAGGGACTTGCGCCAATAATTCCTTTTGATACCCTGATCCCAAAACATGAATCTTCTCAACGGTAATAGGATCCAACCAACCCTTAACAACACCGAAAACGGTGGAGAAACCCCATGGTGCATTGATCAAATACAATTTGCCGAGACGCTCTGGATAATAGTTTTGGGACATGACAGAGGCTTGTTTTACGTATGAGTAAACGGAAGGAACCTTGGAGATTCCAACGCCCTTGAGATCCATAATGGTGCAGCAGGTTTCGAGGAGAGAACCAGCTTTGCGGGAACAGGCTGGGAGACGGGGATCGGCCATCTTCTCATACTCGACAGCGAGGTTTTGAAGCATACGCTCGGAAGAGGTGATTTTGTACATGGCGTTGAGGTCGATGTTGCCCATTTGTTCAATGTAGACTGGACGGCCATCCTGTGGGAGATATGTTAGATAGTGAACGAGGAAATGCGAGGGCAAAGACGATCTCGCAAAAGAAACCAAACAGAGCCAAGAAGAGACGTACCTTATCAGTCTTATGATAGTATTGAGGATAGTACTTAAAAACCTCCTCCTTCTCCTTGTAATCAAAGGTACGGACGAGTTCATCAAGACCGAAATCTTTTCTCCACTGCTCTGCATCCACGAACCTATTCTCCAGTATCAGTATTCATCATCCTTCCAACATATAGGAAAAATCAAAGGTTTATATATCGAGGGTTCTTACATCTTCTCAGCCAATGTGACGTCGAACTTACGTGCTCGTAGGAATCGAAGCTGCGAAGAGATAACAATTAGCCATATTCAATATGGATTCCCCTTTCCCATCAATCCTTCGCACATCATCAAACCCTCGAAATCAAGCAACAAACAGCGATTGAGCCCAGAAAATAATCTCGATCATCAAAAGCACTATTAGATTCCCCCCTCTCCCCTCTTCCCAAGCCCAAGCACCGTCACCAGCACCACGAAAAATAAACAAACAAACAAACATACCAAAGTAAGCGTATCCAATCTCTCCGTAAACCCCGCCGCCTCCAACTTCAACCTCAACTGCTGCACCTGCGCATCCTGTTCTGGGGTTGTGTGTCCAGGGTGACCACTCTGAGCAGTAGGCGACGTGGTTGGGAAATCATAGTGATCGTATTTGGGATCGAGTTTGATTTCTGGATTGGCTGCCATGTTGTTTGATTTCTCACGATATGCGATCTCAAAAATTCTCAGGGTAATATGTGCGGCGAAGAATAAAGGAAGAGAGGGAAGATAATGTAATGGGGAGGGAGGTGTCGATGTGCGCACAGAGACTCAACTTATTATTGCCAGGTAAGTTGGCTGAACTAAATTATTAGATCCAAGAGGGGCTCTAGCTTTACGAGGCTGGAAATGGTCCCTTGAGAAAGTGTTTACATCTCAATTATCACCTGCCAATTCTACATATAATATATTTTAGTCTACATTTTAAGATACAGAAAAACCTGAATTTCAATTTTCTTATTTTATTTCTTCTTGTTTAATATGTGATTGATTTATGATTCTAATAAAACAATGTAAATACTCAACTCTGCCTTCTTTTTTTCCCCTATGAGTTCACGATGATTACATCCACCCTGTAAGCGAGTTTGGTAAGGAAAAGTTCCCCTGATCGATCCCCTGATCAGGGGCATGTATTCAACCCCAAATCGATATATCTATCCTTCGATATTAAAAAGCCGTTGGAGCAAATACGATCAAGATTGGATCTTACGAATATCGTATATCATACGAGCACGCATTTCCAGGGGAAAAGCTAAACTACATGGAGATTGTATCTCCTCTGTACTGAGTATATCTATTGTACCAAAGTTTCTATCAGGAGCCAGAAAACTTGAGTATGATCTATATTGATCAAATGTCAACACACCAATAAAATATCAAGAGTTTTATTTCTCTACATCAGATCTCGAAGATCTTTGGGTTTCTTTCCTCGTATTTGGACCAGAGATAGTTTGGTTTGAGTTCTCCTGAATATCATCGTCATCATCGACATCATCATGTCATAAGAAAGTTCCCATCGACATCCCAGAACTTTATGTTTTCATTATTTCTCCTCCAAAAACTCTATCAACCATTAGAACTACCCGGCTTCCCATCCTTTTCCTCTGCAACCTCCGATTCATTCTTCTCTTTTCTCTTCATCGTAACATCCCAATTGTATACCCTAGCTGTAGCAACCTCCATAGTCTATTCATCAAAAGAGTTTCGTCAGCTTAATCTCTCTCCACTCCGCAACTTTCTCTTTTCCCCAGTCATGGTCTGTGGGTGAAGTGGAATAAACATACCGTAATCTGTTCTCTCAAGAAATCCAAATCCTCCTCACAATTCGCGAAACTTTGTTTCGCAGCCGCGAGTCGGTTCGAAAGTAATTCCTCCGCCTCATCAATCGGATATGCTAACATAACATTTGCCTGCCACCTTGTCAATTTACCTCCACCACCTCTTCCCCAAATGTTAAACGTACCCCCAACCATAAATAAACCTCCTCCGTAGCCGGAATATTGGCTTTGGCGTATAAGGTATCATTCAACTCAAAAGTAGCCTGTATAGGATCCGCACCCTCCTATCAAGAACATATCAGCTCCAATCTCTCAAGCCCCCCTCCGCTCACCTCACAACATAGTACAAACATACCTTCCTCGTTTTCAAAAACCTCACCGTATCCAACGTCTTCTGAATATCCGGCATGTTGATTTTCAACCCGGCGACTCTCTTTTGTTGATTTACCTCCATAAATTGATATTTCCTAAACAAATTCCACAGTATGAGCTTCTGATTTCTCGAATCGTCCAATGTCCCAATGCCCCAATCCCCGGAATCCCAAAGTCCAAGTCCCCAAAGCAAACACTCCTCCATTTGTGTAAAATATCCAAAAATAGAGCTCCAACCTACGAAATCATCTCCTGGAATCTCTTCAACGTAGGCTCAACATCCGCCCTCGTAGTAACATAATCCTCGACTCGATCCACGAATGGTGCATATGGAATACCTCGCTCATTTGTGCGAGCGGCATCTTTTCTGAAGGGTTGAGAGTTAGCTAGTTTTCTGCGAATTTTAAGAACCTTTTCTCTGCGAATGGTAGTAAACTCCTCCCACAAACTCCAGTAAGCTCCCAGACCCCTCTCCTCTGCAGATCGAATTACATAGTTCACCTCACTGCCAACCGCAACTCGGCATTCTGCGACCTGGGGAATGCTTCTGAATGGATAGACTATTGGAACCTCTCTTCCTACAGAATTGCAGAACTGGGTAGTTTCATTTACAAAGGCGGATTCTTCACTTACTTAGTATCTGTATCCGCCATATTTGACGTCTGCGAAACAAAAATATTTATGATTTCAAAATTATCGAAACTGCCCACTACAACATATAGGGAAAGTTCTCGCTTATGTAATACTGTAGTGCTGCATCATCTTCACCCCCGCCAGAGATGCAATTGTCACGCTTTATGTGGTCTACAATCTTCATTGTCGTAAGTTTTTCATGGCGTTCATTAAATAAATTAACATATTAAATCATCTTCATTCACTGTTGAAACAATCTCGCAAAGAACAATGTTTTTCATCGGTATATTTATATTCAGTACCGTACTAGTAGATGTGTAGACATCAAAGACTAATGTGATAGTGACCAACGATCAAAGATCAAATGTAAGCATTCTGACCAAGGAAAAGTAACCTTCCTTCCTAAAGAGAAAACCATGCATAATAGTTATTATTAGAGAAATGAGAACTCCCTATTCTACACACTAAAAGGAAATTCCCATCGCCGATTTCCGTCCTCGAGTTACTCGAGGGTATTCAATTTGTTACAACTTTAGCACTTTGGCTTGATCGAAGTACATTTATGCCTTGGCCTTAGCAAGACCAACAGTGTTCTTACCAAGGTCATAGACGGAGTAGTATCTTCGGAGGAAAGCATCACCCAAGATAGCAAGAGGTCCAACTGGCTCTGGGAAGTCCATACCCTAGTAGATTGTTAGCAGACATCCATGTGTAGAATCAGTGCAGAAAGAAAACTTACCATGAAGGTGGAGATACAGGAGTCTTGAACTTCGAGAATGTAATCGTAAGGGCCAATAGCGAAGTCATGACCGCTGAGGGTGAATGTAAGATCTGGGAGACTGTCACGCTTGGCACAATCGACAGTATATTGACCGTTCCATCCCTTCTTAGCACCGATTTCCTTGTTGAGAAGCTCAGCAAGAGTGGTTGGGAGAGCAATGAGAGAAGTTCCGGTGTCAAGTATAACACCAGTGTTATCAAGCTCGGCCTTAGCATCACCAAAGGCGATCGCATCAAGGTCAACTTCCCAGTAAGCCTTGCGTCTCAATGGGATCTCAGTGATCTTGCCCTCGTAGTGGTCCTTGTTGACGCCACCGAAGATAGCCTCGGATGCGTCAGTCTCATCATTGGAACCCAAGTAGAAGGCAAAAACTGGCTCGTCCAAAAGACCTTGGTCGATCATGCTATAGAAAGGTGGGACGATACTGTTTACGGAGATGGTATCATAACCGAGACCCAAGATACCGTCAAATCTACCGAAGGCAAATGCAAGACCTGGCTCTTCAGTAGCTTCGGCAAAGACTTGGTCCTTGATCTTGAGATCACCAATGGACATGACGTCCTTGGAGGTGAAACCACTCAAGCTTCCAGAACCGTATCGGATCTCGAATGAAGTTCCATTTGCCTTGTAGGTAGATGATGAGGATGAGTCGTACTTTGTGTGAAGGTAGCACGCGATCGAACCGCACTGGGAAGATGGAACCCAAAGGTTGGAACTTCCGGTATCAAGGACGACCTTGAATGTTTGTGGTGGTGTACCGATAGTAATTTCTGAGAAGTCTATTCGCAAGTTAGCATCTGATTCATACTTGTTGGCGGTGTATGTCCTTACATTGAGCATTGAGGAAGTTGGAAACTGGAACAGTGTGGTCGCCTGCGTCGTGAACGGAAGTCTCCTTGAACATCTCACTGGCGTGAGATTCAGGTCGAACACCCATATACTTTTGACCCAAGTGTTTAGCATGCTCCTGCATGTTGGCAGTAGCAAGTTGCTCACTCAGAGATACCTTCTTGAGAGGCATCTTGTGAACACCGGCGCTCACACTGCCGAGCAGCGATGCTGCGGCGAAAACTGCACCCTTCATGATGTAGATTTAATTCGTGTGTAGTTTATTGGATTGTATTGATGAATTAAGAAAATGGGAACGATATCTTTGATGGAATTGCAAAATGTTGGATAAGGTAGAAGAGTTGGTTGTTGATAAGAGAAAGGAAGATGGCTGAGATGAAGGTAGAGAGAGAGCTTCAGAGTATTAGCAAGAGCAAAGCAAAGCAAAGCAAAGCAAAGCAAAGCACGGCAGGATGCACGAGCACAAATGAATGACGATAGCGGTCGCCTATTACGGTTGCCTCCACAACCCGACCCACTAATCCACTCAAAAAGTGAGATCTAGCCAATGAAAAGTGATCATGAGTCTAGTCGAGTACATTGGCGCAAGACTTAAAATGATCAGATAGATACCGATACCCCGACATTTCGAAAACATAACATACCTTGGTAGCCACAAGTATATGCCTTGATCTATCAATGTCAGTTTCACTTTCTTCAAGGCGAACGAAACGGTGACAGTACGAATACGTGAACACTTCGTACCTCCTAGTATTTGGGTAATCAAGTGATTCATTGCTACATCTATTTATCTATTTATCTATCTAGTACGAGTATAACTATTGGTATTTATCTATTATCTATCTTAATCAAAAGATAGATAATAATAAATTACATGCTCTTCATACTACCTACTACTTACTCTATCTCCGTATCCAGATACTACCTCAAGAATATCGTAGGTACGACCTACTAGGTATATAATATCCAAACACTACCTAGTATATTCCTATATCATCGTAAATCATAACATCAATACTCATTATCCACTCCAAATATCAATCAAATCAATAACTATCAACCTTTTCATCCTACCTTTCTACCTACTCACTTACCTACCTACCTATCTACTAAACATACCCAAATAACCTTGGAACCATCCGTACCCGTATCCCATCCCTTTAGCTTAAAACTTAATGAAAATCTTATCGTGTCATGTCAGGCACAACGCGAACAACTGCTTATGTGGATCCGGCGCCAACCGCCTTTTCGCCCCAGATTTCAGGAACACAGGAAGGCTGGAGTGGCTTGCCTCGGATCAAGAGAATCCATGGATGTGAAGGAACGTCGGAATGGGTTAAGATAAACTACGTGTCTAGCCACATATGATTCATTGTCTCACTTATTAGACACTAGATAGGTACGTAGGTAGATATGAAGATATGTAAAGTAAAGTCGGCCGTGAATGAAAGGAATAACATTTTGCTTAAGCAAATAATCACCCATATTATCTACCTACCTAGGTACTATTTTACCTAATTATCCTGGTTAGATCTTAACCTAAATCCATCCCTCTCGCAGTACGTTCAGCGCCCATAATGTATATTCAAAAGACAGAAAATGGTAGGTGGTACAAGATCGGCAATGGTTTCTCCCAATGAACATTCACGTTTTGGTCTCTAATACGTAATACTTCAATACAAAGTGACGATAGAAACAGTTGATTTTCTATCTAGGTATCTCATATGGTCTATTGAACTCGACCTCTAAAACTTTTTTCCCTCATAAACCCCCTGCCACTCCCTGGTATATCATGACGACGTTGAATCAGTCAAAAGAAGTAGCGCCTGCAAATGATGAATCCTAATTGCTTTTTCTTACCCACACCCAAACCATGAACACCTTAACCAAATGCCAAATTATCAAACATTTACTCTCTCCAGCCCTCAACTGGGAGAGGGAAGCTGCTAGCCCACTCAGCAATCTCCTTTCTCAATTCGTTGATCTTCTCAACTTCACCACCAGCGACCTTAGCCTTGAAGTCCTTAAGCTTGTTGTCACTCTTTGGCAGAGCAGCTTGGACTTCCTTGCAGATCTTGATGCTTTGATCAATGTATGATGCAACTCTCTTGAAGTCCTCAGTACCGAATCCACGACTGGTCATAGCTGGGGTACCGATACGGATACCGCAAGGGGTCAAAGCAGACTTGTCACCTGGAATAGAGTTCTTGTTGCAAGCAATGTTGATTTGCTCCAAGACAGCCTCAACACGGGCACCGTCAAGTGCTTGTGCTCTGAGATCGAGGAGAACCATGTGGGAGTCAGTGCCGTCGGCTACGAGTTTGTAGCCCAATTGCTTGAACTCGTTCTCGAGAGCCTTAGCATTGTCAACAACTTGTTGTTGATATTTCTTAAAGTCATCAGTTGTGGCTTGCTTGAGGGCAACAGCAAGAGCTGTGATGGTGTGGTTGTGTGGTCCACCTTGGTGACCTGGGAAGACGGAGAAGTTGATTGGGCCTTCGAGATCGTAGAGGGTCTCCTTTCCAGTCTTGGCATCAGTCTTACGGACACCCTTGCGGAAGAAGATCATGGCACCACGAGGACCACGGAGAGACTTGTGGGTTGTAGTGGTAACGATATCAGCATGCTCGAAAGGACTTGGGATGACACCAGCGGCGATCAAACCAGAGATGTGAGCCATATCAACAACGAGGTAAGCACCGACAAGATCAGCGATCTTGCGCATACGGGCGTAATCGATAAGACGGCAGTAAGCAGATGTTCCAGCAACGAGAACCTTTGGTCTGTACATCAAAGCGTTGGCCTCGAGTTGGTCATAGTCAATGATACCAGTCTCCAAGTTGACACGGTATGGGAAGGTCTCGAAGTATGTTGATACGGCAGAGATTCTGGTATATTCGTTAGTTGGATGAAAATATGAAGAAACGACATATTCGCAACTCACTTCTCTGGGGAGTTTGGTAACCGTGGGACAAGTGACCACCGTGTGGGAGATCAAGACCCATAAGTCTGTCATGAGGTCTCATGATAGCTTGGTAAACTTGGAGGTTTGCTGGCGAACCAGACAAGCATTGAACATTGACACCCCATTTCTCAGAATCCAAGTTGAATGCCTTGAGAGCACGAGCTTGGCAGGTCAACTCAATAGAGTCAATGTGTTGGTTTCCACCATAGTATCTAGCGCCTGGGTATCCCTCAGAGTATTTGTTTGACATGGGTGATCCCAAAGCATCGAAAACGGCACGGGAGGTAACATTCTCGGAGGCAATAAGGATGATCGATTCACGCTGACGTTGGATCTCGAGTTTCTATATATTCTCATCAGTAATTGGCATATTTGAGGAGATGCATTAAAGTACTTACCATGATCTCAGCGATCTCAGGATCAGTCTCAACCAAAGACTTTCCAACATCTGTGAAACAATGAGTCAGTCAAATTACCCAGCATTTTGATCGCGGGGCATTTTATGTGGCAACAAACCTCTTGATGAGACTTTGGGAGGGCGTATGTAGAAGACATGATTGCAAATTGATACTCTTGAATGCAAAGGAGAGTGTAGCTGATTTGTATATTGAAACACTGAAGTGAAGTTTACTTGAGAAAACAAAAAAAAGTTGAGAGGTCAGACAAAGAAGTATATACAAAAATTTAGTCAAGCTAAGAGTTGCCCCTCCAGCAAGCTAGCGGAATCGGAGTGGATTTCAGCCAATGAGACCCCACAGCCACTATCGACGTGACTCGCTAAAATGAATATCCCGCATTAAAAAAAATGGTGCGGGGGAACAATGGTTAAATCACGGGACAATATATGATATTTTGGTTTGAATGGAGATGAATGAAATCAAAGGTCAATTCTACTATTGATGGAAGAGTCGTATGGAGAATGGGTGTATAATGATATTTGTGTATGCTCTTGAATTTTGAAACTTTACTATCATCAAATCTACGAAGCGGTAATCATTACACAACTGCCCGGGGCTGCTTGCTTGCTCTTGTTGTCAAAGACTGAAGGCACGAAATTTGAGGTCTCCTGTGAAAGGGGCTCGCTTGAAGTATCGAAAAGGAAATTTATACGGTGATTTGCTCAATGCGTAAGGTTCACTCATAGTATTTCTTGAGTCTATTTGATCCCGCGAGCGAGGTATTGCCAGGACTCTAGTTCTCCATTGGTGAGAGCAAGTAGCAGTTTTTAATACACAATATCTCCCTCGTCAAAAATTATCAGTACGAGACTCCAAACGTCTCTTTTTCGCTTCCATTTGCGCCCTTTTCTCCCGTTTTGGTTCATCCTTGGTGTTTGGCATACCTGAATCTTCAACGACAAACGTTGCTGTAACTTTCTTCCTCGTACTCTCCGGATGCGAGGACAGGGGTTCTACAGTCGAACCGAGCATCGCAGGCCGAGACTACGAGATATCCTTACTCGGACTTGATGACGCCTTCCCCGATGTGAGTATGTGAAGCGGCGAAGCTCTAGTATTAGTAGTAATCTCGGGGCCCGAATCTGAATGCTATTCTACTCGTTGACGTAGTGGTATAGGCTGATCCACGAGCTCAATTGCTGTCTGTTTCTTCAATGTTTTTAGTTCCTGTGATCTTATGGAGGTTGATGGAAACAAACTCTTGTGCTTTTTCTTCTTATCTCCAGAATCCTTGTGCTTCTTTTTCGATGAGCGATCCGCACCTTCTTCAGAGTCTTTGTGGCTCTTCTTCGATTTATCGGATTTTGACTTTTTCACCGGTGGTGCATCTTCCATCTCCACATCTGATGCTTCGTCTTCCGACATTGCGATCTTTTGGAATTTGGGAGCGCGTTCTTCTGACTCGCTTTCATCTTCGTCAGATCCAATGATACCAGGTGCGCTCGAAAAGCCAATTGGTTGGTATCGCGCCTTCAGACCTTTGGGTTGTTGACGAACAGGTCGCTTTGCGGGCACTGTAGCTTGGCTGGAGTTCTCCTTAGAAAGGTTAACGACTTGTTGCATATGATATATCTGATCCACGGATTTTTTCTCTGTAATTGTGTGTCAGTGTACTGAAGCGCATCAGTAGACGGAGTAGATTTACCAATGGAGTAACCATCTTTAGAATTGCTTGGTAACAAGATCTTGGTATACGTCTTGTCATCAAGCGGGTCGTGAACGAAACCATAATCGTTGCCATTCTGCGAAAATACTGCTTTGCCCAATTTTGCATCTCGCAGCGACATCTCCGTTACAGAAGCAATGGGTACCGACGCAGGTGCTGTGATGTACCAAATTTCTTTTCCCTCCAAATTAGACTTGCTGAATAATTGTGGTGCTTTACTTGAATTCTTCGAAGAAGACTTTTCGAATCCGGGAGGGGGCTTGAAGGGCGCAACTTTCATCGATACTGTTTTGGCATCTTTCCTGATATGATATTAGCAAACAAACCTAGAGTCTATCAAGCTTGCTAAAACTTACTTAGACGAAGATGGCACAACAGATTTCTTTGCATTTGTACTTGATTCGTCTTCCGACTCCTTCTCATCGCTCCCACTTTCACTTTCACTCTCTTCGGAGCTCTCAGCCTCGGAACTGTGGCTACTCTCTGCGGCCTTGCTATTCGATTTGAACTTGGATTTAGATGTAGATTTCACAGCGGGATTCGATGGCAGAGAATCATTGTCGCTATCTGATTCCGATTTGTTTCCCTTTGGCTCGTCATTCTCATTGTCGCTTTCTCCAACAAACTCGGAGCTCTTGAAATCTTGCGGTGATTTGACAATTGGAGTTTTGGTTGCAGTTTTGGCAGAGGATTTCGAGGAAGATTTTGAAGAATCTGCCTTCTTCTTTCGCTCACTAAGAGTTACTTTGGAAGGCCCCATGGTGAATAAGTATATTCTTGTTTGAGGAGAGATTGATGGAGGATTGGTTCAATGGTAGTTGTAAATAAATGGAAAATCGCATCGAAACTTTTTTTTGGCAAGGCTCGGCCTTGCACGGGAAAACATCGGATCTAAGTTTTTTGATGCCCCGAGCTGCTATCAAACTCTCCTCTCGATTTCATAATTATGTAGGAACTTATGTTATTGATATAAACTATTCAGATAATGTCAAGCAAAAGAAGAAAGCTAGATTCTCCTATAAAACCCCGTATGTTCATTCTAGCACAAACATAAATGTAATCTCACTAAATTCAATATAGAGCTCAGTGCTGTGAGTGCTTTCGCAGCCAGAAAGGCACATGCTGCTGCCCAGAGCACTAGCAGTTCACCAAAAGAGACCTCATCTTCTCAAAATCATATTGAGAGAAATTCTCAGCTGGTGACAAACGATGTCCCCCCCAAAAACTACAGCCGTGGAAAATCGAGTCCGATTAGAGATGATCCTCCTTCCATAAATCCAGGCTTTATTGTTGAGGGAAATGAACGAGGAGAAGAGCTAGAAAACAATATCTTGAGGTGTGTTCTTTACCCCTACTGGGTTATACTATTAATCCTCCAAATATTGATTTAGACCAGTTCTGATTCACGTGAGCAGTCACCTGAAGTGATTTCAGATAGACCGTCGATGGTGTTGTCTACCTTTAAGCCTAGTGATGATAATACCAAGGTGCTCAAAAGCAGAATACTAGTGTTGAAGCTTGCACCCGGTGAGGTCAGTGATTTTATATCCGCTAAGTACCTATAAAATCTAACATTTTATAGAGATTGGTCATTCTGGGGCAATGTAATCTTGAAGTTGTCGAAGGGCAAATTACGATCTTAGGATCTATATTAAGAGCTTCGAAGACTAAATATCCAGTATATGCAGCGACTGCATACTCATTACCAGTGATTAGATGTCCAGATGGGGAACTAAACCATGCAGTTCTCCGTCTTCATCAATCTGATTGTGGAATAAGATCGTTAGAATCTCTCTCCCCGCTGTTTGGAAAGTTATGGAACGAGGATGCCCGAGCCTTCAAATCGGCGCATAGTCATCTTGCGGCAAAGCTTGGAAAAAGCACATTTCAGATTGTACACAAATCCTATCTGCAACCAGTCATCTCACCACCGGAATGGAACAAGACCTTGTCGAAATTGTCCAGCTCCACCCAAACTACCAAACGAATCATGCTCTGCGGCCCAAAGTCATCCGGAAAATCGACTTTTGCGAAATTGCTTGTAAATCGACTTTTGTCTGCAAGTCAGAATGAGAACAGTTCAAATTCAAGAAAGGGCCCTGGTGTTGCACTACTTGATCTTGATCCAGGGCAGCCGGAATATTCTCATCCTGGTCAAGTATCCCTCATTCATATTAAGGAACCAAATTTTGGTCCCTCAATTACCCACCCTATACCGGGAACTAGCAGTCGTATAATTCGTGCACATGCTTTAGGCGCAGTATCGCCATCTATGGACCCAAGTCTCTACATGTCATGTGCACTCGATCTATTTGCACATTACCGCAATCTAGCCTCTCTCCATTTCAATTGTCCTCTAGTCATCAATACTCCCGGCTGGGTCTTGGGAACAGGGCTTGAAATTCTCGTAGACTTAATAGCCAAAGTGCACCCATCAGAAGTCATATATATGTCTAAAGCAGGTCCTGCCGAAGTCGTCGAAAGTCTCCAAGATGCAGCCAAAACAACCCCTCTCATTACTCTCCCTTCACAAACTACCGATTTCATGACACGCACTTCGGCTCACCTGAGAACTATGCAGTCGATGTCATATTTCCATCTAGATTCAACAAACAAGAAAGAACTAGCATGGAGCGGAACCCCATTATCATCCATTCCTCCTTGGGAAATCAAGTATTCCGGCGCAAATGCCGGTATTCTAGGTATCCTCTGCTACGGCGAACAACCACCATCAGATCTCCTTTCTGAAACTACAAACGGCTCTATAATTTCGATAGTCGTCATCGAAGACCCAGCTGCAATACCAGGATACACTTCAACCCAACAAGACAGATCCGAACTCTCAGATCCCAATACTCTTCACGAGTTCAATTCCCCATTGACCCTTGACCTCATCAAGAAGCCCCTCATCCTTCAAACTCCTCACGAAAACCTCCCATATTTCAACCCCCTTAATGCGATAACTCTCGATCCAGAATATTCTCATACCATCGGATCAGCTCTCGTTCGTGGAATTGATACTAAACGCCAGCGCTTGCAAATCCTCACTCCGATCCCACAAGACATATTCGAGGAAATCAACCAAGAGGGAAAGCAAATCGTGCTAGTGAGCGGAAAGCTAGATACTCCCGGTTGGGCATATACAGAGGAATTAGTAAGAAGGACATGGATGGAGAAAGAAAAGCGAAGAAAAGAATCAGGCGAAGAGGAAGAAGTAGCAGAATACGAGATCGAGGAGGATGAAGATGCAGAGGAAGACGAAGACAGCGAAGGTAGTAATGCAGAAGCAGAGATAGATGTCAGAATTGGAATCGCAATCGAGACCCCGGATGTAGTATCCATCGATACGGATACACCGCATCACGCATTCCGCCATATTCCATGGGTGGAAAAACTCACAGGCTCGCAGGGAAGAGGGGTAGGCGCGAGAGTTTGGCGCGTGAGGAGAGATTTGGGGAAGATGGGTGATGCGTAGGGAATGGAGTGGATGAGATTCAAATAATGTAATACAATTCTTGTATAGGAAAGTTGAGATGTACGTATGTATTTATGTATATATATATAATGGAAACTCATGATAGTGTGTTGAGGATTTATATACAAACTTCTCTCTCTCTCTCTCCCTATCTATCTCCATACAATACCCTCTAAAGTATTACTAGACACACATAAATATCTATATACCTATATACCAACTCGATTCTCCATCCACCTACCTACCTATCTAATCAATCAATCAATCAATCATATACTAGCACATCAACCCATCACCTCATCACCTCCCATCAACCCCTCACCTCCCATTACCATTACCTCCACAAATCTTAAACTCAAATCCCACCGCCCCCGCTCCAAATCTCCAAATCTCCAAATCTCCAATCATTCCCAAGCTCAAGACTAAATAAACAATATTCATCTATTCATCTATTTATCGTACATATAGTACATATAGTGTATATAGTATACAAGCTCATCAAACATTCTTCCCCTCTCCCTCTCCCCCTCACATCTTCAAATCCATATCCATATCCAAGACCCACCTAACCACTCACTACCTACTACCTAGGTAGGTACCTACCAAATCCCAACCACATCACCACACCACACTCAAGCATTTAAAAATCCCTTCTAATTCATTCCATTTCACTCAATCATATTCCATTCTATTTTATGCCATACACAATATATACATACAACACCACTTAGTATCACTTAACACAACAAGATAAATTTCTACGCCATCCATCCATTTATTCACCTACCCCAATCCAGCCATCCATATCTCATTCGGGCTCGACCATACCAGACCATGCAACACCAAACCATATCAAAATCCCTGAAAGACACAGCAATCTGTAAATCATGACTTATCGACCCCTCCCAAAACGCCCCAGAAACACCATACATCTATGATATGCCATGCTATGCCATGCATTCAAACCCCACTTCCATGCATTCAGAAGCATAATATAATATAAAGAACAATCATCAAGTAGTTGTTTATTTCCCATCTCTCATCATTCTCAAATTCCTCAACTGCACCTCTCAAACCACATCTAGAAATATTGCAACTCTCCATTCCCACCATTCTTTCCCCCATTACTCTTCTGCAACTGCGCCTGATACTGTTGAAACTGCGCTTGCACAAGTTGCTGCGGCGTTTGATAATTTTTCTGCAATGGAGGGAAATCTTCATACGCAACTGCTGGATTATAAACTGGCGGCGTATTGTTTGATGTCCGTTCATTGACATCATCCAAACTCCTATAACCGTATCCTCGTCCCTTTCCCTTTCCGCCACCCCCTCCACCATTACCATTGCCTCCGCGATTATTACGTCCAAAGCCTCCACGTTGATTTCCATTTCCCCTATGATTGCCTCGTCCTCCACGTCCACCACCATAGTTATTTTCTTGACCTCCTCTCTTATTTGATGGCCCTTGATAATTTCCACCATATGATCCATTTGTTGGTTTAGCCTCCGGGGAGTGCTTGCGCTTGAATGATTTATTGGGGAACAAACTCTCGTACTCGTTTTCAGAAAGATCTTCCTTTTCTATCCTCAAAAGAACCTTTTCACCCACAGTACTTTCAAAGACAAATGCCTTCTCTGGTGGAACAGGTTGCCAATTTTGTATCTTACCTGCATCAATTGGTCGAGCCCCTTTGCGCAATGCGAGAACGACTACAGGAATGGGGTTTTCGGTATAAAATTTCTTGGACTCTGGTACAGGTCTGACACGAGCGGCCCAAATCTTGTTTTCAAAGACTGCTGTTCCTGTTACTTCCCAGGTGGTCTTACTTCCCATTCCTCCAACCTTTTGAAGGATACTTTCTGGACATGGGCGTGGAGTAATAAGAACATTATTGGCTAGAAATTTGGCTTCTGTATCTGGCATGTTCGATGGAAGCTGAGCTAAAGTAAGCAGCTTCTGAGTGTCAGTATTATTGATCAAATATCCAGTATAGAAAACAGTCTTCTTAATCTGAAGTCTCTCGCCATAATTTCTTGCTTCAATGGCAGCATTGTGATCATTGATCAAACGCTGTACCTCGGCAGCTTCCACAACAGGATCAAGTAATGTGGCTCCATCTGCAACTTGAACCACTTCGGCAACGATAGTAGAGCGAGATGGAGTACCACTAGAGCCATTCTGACGTTTGTTGTAATCCGTGAAGAAATCTCTGAATGCCTTGACATGTCTGACTCTATCCTCATAGATTCTGATTTCCTCAGCACCTTTATATGTCTCCATCAAACTTTCCAAGAAACATTGTTTGAAGTTCATCGTACTACTGAACCTCTCATTTCTGGGACCTGCTGCTGGTTTTAAGACAATCATATCCGTATCGAGACCCCTACTGGCAAGCATTTTTTTCAATAATTCTGAAAATCCAGCCTCGGAACGGCCAGTTAAGAGAATAGAAAGAACATCTTTTTGTTGCATACTCAACTGAATGAGTTCAACGATTCGCTCATTCCACCAACCTTTCCAAGCTCGTGGTTCTTCTTTCTCTACACCTTCACCTGTAGCTGCAAGAATTCTCGAATCGTGCCACCAACCACCCGTCGCAAATGTATCTTGAGTTTGTAGAAATCCTATGGTCGGTCCGTTCCATAGTTTCGGATTAGGCAGAGGGCTGTTGAAAACTGTGGAGGTATGTTAGCAGATTATATGTATAAATAGGAGCACAAGGCTTCATAATGATGGTAAACCTTGCCCTCTCGAGATATCATTCAACTTACGGGTATTATCAAAATCATAAACATGAAGTGCCTTGATTTTATCCACCGCTACAAATAATTAGCAATTCATCCACCCTCACTCCCAAATCTCTCCCAATCCAAGACATCTTACCAGGCAACTGTTTATCTGCAACAGACCAACGATTCAAAGCCGTGGTTGTATATTGATTGAAGTTCGATCCCCCATTTGGAGTTTGCGCCATGATGAGGCGTGAGTCACAATAACGTGAAAACTTCTTAAGAGGATACACAGTGACTTCAAGAGTTCTTGGTATAATGTGCAATTTCTGCGTTCAATTGTCGTTGTTTTGTAAATGCGATTGGTAGATAGCTAATAAGTTCCTGACGTTGCCAGAATTTCTATCTAGTGTTGCAGGTGCTCTCCTCGAATCTCGAAATGCTTTGACCAGCCGTGGCGCTAAGCGTCTTAGAGTTTAGCGCAACAGTAGCGCTACGGTTCTCGACCCTCATTCGCTTCGCATAGTGAATGTTTTCTGTATACCGGACGTGATACTGAAAGAACCTAGTACAACAATCTACAACAGTCTCTATAATTCCAACAATGAAGAATACTGCAGGTGGTTTTCTCAAGATAGTCAAACAAACCATTCATTTAAGCTGTCACGTTAAACCCAACTCCAGCGCATCAAGAGTAGGTATAAAAGCCTTCTCAAACACATCTTCCTCAATCGAAGTATGCGTCGCCCAACCAGCACGGGATAATGAAGCAAATAAAGGTGTTGTTGAGGTTTTGAGTCATGTATGAATTTTGATTTTGTTATTGATTCTATGTTTGTCAACGTATTTTAAATAATATGATTATTGAGTAATTTTCTAACAGTACCTATGTAGATATTGAAATGCCCAAAGACCGACCTAGAAGTTATTCGTGGGAAAACATCGAAGGACAAGATTATTGCGTACAGAGGTATAGACGACTTGTTGGCAAACGATTCTCTAGCTGAAATGACACTGGGAAGAGTTCGAGAATGTTTGCGAATAGCAAGTAGAAATGAGAAGACTTGATAGGTTAGGGGTAGTTGGAGTTTTGTTTTTGCGACCAGTACACCTCTAATGCACCATTCTTCCATACAACATTCGTTGAGATCCGGCGCAAGACTTCGTAGAGCGTTCCCAAGATACTCGTTCCAAAGATTCGTCTCAATCAGTTTTGCCCACCAACGTAACGAATTCTACTCTTAGTATCCCTTACATCTTCGCTAGTTAGTCGAGATATGCCGATCATCCGTCCAGGAACTTTTTGACAGCGTGCGGCGGATTTAGGTGAATAATAGCTAAGCGCGCAGACCGATCGATAGCAAGATCAGCTCCAGCTCTATACGCCGGCACAATTCTTATAATACTCCCCTGTTGGACCCTGTTGAACCTTTCAAGTCGATCTGTCGTATCATGTCCGTCATCCCGTAAGCGAAGGAAGAATACATTATCGAAGAAGTGATCACCGCGTCACCTGGCGAGAAAGCTCCCATGTTGTATAGACTCGGGTCCTCAGTCGTTTGAACTGATACGCCAAACTATGAGTAGTTGGCGGCGGTCAACATGACAGTGTAAAGAGAGTAGAACGTTGACCGTCAATAGCAATAACATCCGATTCCACCAAACATCATTTTGAGTGCGAGAGTAATTTGAGCTTAGATAACTCCCCCAAAATATTAATGGAATATGACACAGGAAGGAATTCAGAATTGGGCTGATTTTGTGAGACTTTCAAAGGAATGAAGTAGGATTCGACTAGATAATCGAGATTATTGAACCGGCACACGTGATAGCGGTCGACCTCCAAAGGTAAATAGAAACTGGAGGGTGTAGATACAATTTAAGGCAGTGATATTTTAGATACTTGGCATCTTCTGTGGCGCACTACACATGTAATTATCGCTGAACAAAAACAAGAACGAAAATTCCACTAAAGCGGAAAGACTAGGATTTCGCGCTGAGTCTGTACCCTCCACACTCCCATTCATCAACCAAGGATGGGGTACTGAGTAGACGATGTATGCATACTTGTTAAACTTTGGAAAGGATCATCACTGGATGTTATCTGAGTACAAGCAGGATTCTGGTTAACATGTACTCGTATTGGCTTAAAGGTTCCTCAATCGCTCCCGTGAACCCGCATAGATTACATTCCGAGAATCAAAAGAAAGAAGAGGATGCCGAGAAACCCAGGTCAACATCTCTTTCATCAGCGGCGTGCATCCACGTTTGAACGGTAGGGAAAGTTCTGCGAGTCAAGAAAAGTGTGTACACAGTGTAGTACAATCTCCAGGTAGTTGTACTCAACTGCGGACAGTAACATTAGTAGCCAAGACATGGAAGTTCATGGGGGGGGGTCCCGTAAGCAAGCCACAAAGCATGACAAGACGATTCTGCTTTTTTCGATCAGTGGATCCGTCTCATGCGTCAGTAGTTTGACATGCGCGCCGGTTAAGTATGGAGACACCACAGAAGATCCTTTCTTTTTTGTTCCTTTTGGATAAATCCGATAAGAATTTACAGAGTTAAGTTGGAGGGGTGGGTGGGATGTCAGTGGATATTCCGAGATAAAAATCCTTTTGAGAAGCCGATATCCGATTTTTTTTGATGTACGAAGTAGTAGTGGAGACTTTGGAGATTTTGGAAGGCTTTTATTAAAATGACATAAAATATTGGATGAATTAAGCTCGTATTAAAATATGTTCATCTCGTATGTATCGTCTAATAGCGTCCAAGGTAGAATATCGTGATGATTGAGTAGGTGGTAGGTACCGGTACGTTTACCTAGGTAGTGAGTAGGTAGGATGATACTCATGATACTCATGATTCCTGTGATTCTCATGTTGGCTGATAAGTAGTATGATTCTCACGTTAGCTCATTCGTATGATATACGGAGTAGCTATGTATTTATATAGATATATGCTCGTTTGCTCGTTTCTGTACTGAGTGCTCCGTATACGATCCTCAACGCGTCGTCCTCTTTCTCAACTCTTAGCAACGCCAAAACATCTCAAAGGAAAAGTACACACGCAACTGTGCAGTGCCAGTAGGTATGTTTCGTATGCATAAAGGGTCACTGGTCACTGATGGCATGTGACCGTAACCCCTCGGCTGTGGCTACCACTGCGTCATTCCCAGCTCTTTGGCACACAGCTCGTAGCTGAAAAGTGGAAACTCTTCGTCTTTGACCGATAAATCAGAGAACAAACGGGATCAAGATTCAAGAGGGGAAACACTCAAAACGTCTGATCGATTCCCATTGCTATTGTACTTTATTTAAGTTACGAAACCCATATTGAAAAGAGATAAAGGGGAAGGATGTTGTCATCTATAGCATTTTCCAGTACCTATACAAAAAAGTCGATTGTTCATGCGATGAGATTGGTTCGAAGCATGAAAGAAAGAAGCTCCGGGATTAAAATATGAAGTTCTTTCAAATGAATAATATACTTCGTCTCTGATTGGATTGAAAAGAATTTCTATCAGAAAATCGAAATGTAGTGATAAATTACAATGCGTGAATGAGTGACGATCAATTGCCACAACACAACATCTTACCTGCACATGCTCGGTTCGAGGAACACCAAGTAACATGGTTCATGACAAGACGAGCACTTAGAGAAGGAGGGGGAGTGTATTTATAAATCATACTCGAGTATTCCTCCCTAGGTTCCTCCATCGTACTTACTCCGTACACCTACTCACGACCTGGTCCTCTACCTAGTACTTGGTTTGTGGCTCAAAGATGTAAAGGTGGCATGTGCTTTTCTCTTGGTACGAGCCCCTTCATCAAAGCTTTTATGATTCAATACTTGCTGCTACTGGTACATCACATCGTCAAAGACTTTTCAACATTTAACAACACATCAAGTGGAGAGATGCGGAATACTTGGTCGGCAATTAGATCAATGTGGGAGAGAGTCCTCCTACACGACCACACCCTTTTCTCTTCAAGTCTTGACTCCAATCGTTTTTTTTCTCGATTGCACATATACATGCTTACTAGGTTGTTATACCGATACCCAGGTAGATGCAGATGCAGTAATATGTAATATGTATGTAAGTGCTATGTATCTAATGAATGAAAGTTCCAACTTACTACTTACTACTTCGTACTTCACACTTGCCAATATTACTCCGTATATTCCAGGTTCAAGGTTTTTATCATTATCCCATCCAATGCGTAAAATTTAAAATCTTATTACTCTCGGGGATCTCTTCCGTAAGATCAATAAATTAATAAGAGGTGGTCCCTTATTCAAACATCCAAATACTCAAGCAGCCTCTCACCCTTTTCTCGACATCTAATTCGTGCGTGAGCCCAAGTCCCCTCCCCTCTCTATGAATCTTGATGTTTTTTCTCCTTCGCCTCCATCCTTGTCTCGTTTTCTCATTGCGGATTGCCTGATGTTCAGGGTTCATGGAAAGTTCTCGTCGGCAAATAAAAGAATAAGGCACAGGAGTACAACACAGCACAGACAGAGGGAAAGGGCAAGAAGAAAAAAGTGATAAGTGACCCTGAGCGAGTGAGTGACTCGAGTATAATCCATGATTATGCAGCAAGATAGAGAGAATACTCCATACACATCTCGTGAATACTCCCAGTACACCCGCAGTCCACCCACCATCAGCCGTATTGGTATTAGTTGATCTGATATAGGTATGGTCTACTTCCCAGTCAAGACCAATATGATTTAAATCACATCTAAGGTTTTTAAACTTTCAAAAGGAATCTCCACTTCACCAGGATTAAACTTGATATTCTTGCTAATAGTACGAAGTGTTTCCTGATACCTATCGTGGGCTCATTAAATTGTAGCAACTAGCTGGATCAATCACCAATTCTTGGACTTTGGACTTTGGACTTTGAACTTTGAATATACTTTAGACTCTGAACTCTACCTCTTACTCGCCTACTCGCCTACTCGCCTACTCGCCTGCTTGTCTGCTACCCGCTGTCCTCCTACCCTCTAACCCTCCCGCCTCCGTGCTGTATCGTTCATTTTATATCTTTTGGCACCAGCCGCACTACCCTTTCTCTCATCACACCTCGTACCACACTATATACACCTCACACTTAGAAAACTATAATGTCACACTTAATTTGAGAAGAAGAAGAAGAAAAGAGAGAGACGAAAAAAAGGGCAGCCGCAGCAAAGATATACGCATCAAACCTTCTTTCCTCATCTATCCTTCCTTCTCTTG